TATATATAATATATATCATGATACATATACATTTATATTATGGTTTGCATATAAAAAGTCCCCAAAAGTCTCATGTGTCAGAGGTGGGAGCTTGAGAAGGTGACTAGGTCACGGAGTGCTGGTTATTAGTGGATTAGTCATTTGCTGAGTTCAAAGGTGAATGTGAATGTGGGGCCTGAATGGAGGAGATGCAGACCTGGCGCCACATCCCACCCCCGCCTGCATCCCCAGATCTTCCCAGGCTGTCTCCCGACTCCACGGATCAGACGGCTGTCCTCTGCTGGCCCTTCTGCCATGCCACTCCTAACTTGGAGCCTGTTGACCATGGACTGAACCTCTCGAAACTGAGCCAAAATAAGCCTCTGCTCCCTTAAATTGTGTTTGTCAGATGTTTTGTCCCTGTGATGAAAAGGTGGCCAATAAATACGCAAAAAACTTCCATCTACAGGTTATTACCACAAGGAAAAAAAATGTGCTATTATGTGACTATGAAATACATGAAGTGGTTTTGTATTTTGGCTCATACGTCTGTTTTGTGCCATGCCACTTTTATCACTGTCGTTTGGTTGTATAAAGTGGAAGTCGGGGATTCTGCTCTCTCCTACTCTGCTCTGCTCTGTTCCCCCACAGCTGCTTCTGTTTGTCTGTTTCTCTTCTGGCTCCATATGAACTTTGGGACTGCTTGCTCTTGTTTTGTGAAGAATGCTGTTGGTGTTCTGCTTGGGATTAATCCGCACATCAGCTACAGGAGTATGGTCATTTGACAACACTGGTTCTGCCCATCCAGGAACAGGGGATGCCTTTCATCTTCTGATGTCCTCCTCCCCAAATTCCTTTCTCAGCATACTGCACTTTTGTCCTACACACTTCTCACTTCCTGGGTTAGGTTCAGTCCTAGGCATTTACTTGCTCCTGACGCTAACCTGAATGGTGCTGTTCCTGCAATGGCTTTCTCGTGAGTTCTTCACTGCTGCACACAAGTGCTAGTGATTTTTACATGATGATTCTGTATCTTGCCACACTTCTGAGATTGGTTATGAATTCTAAGAGTCTATTGATGGTGATTTCTCTAAAGACTGTAATTAGAAATTTCCCCTTCTAGGCGTCTTCTAGAAAGAGCTCATGACATCATCTTTACAGTGTACACATCCACCCTTGCTTCTAGCAGCACACTCATAAGAGCTAAGTCCGGGAAGCAGGCTGTATACCCTTCAACAGACAAATGGATAAAGGAAATGTGGCAGCTACACATAACAGAATACTACTGGGCGATAAAGACAGGCAAGTTCTAGGCACTTGTAGGAAGATGGATGCTCCTGGAAAATACAACGCCAAGTGAAACAATCGGGACACATAGCTTAAATACCCTATGAGGCCTATCATTTGAGGAGCGCAAAGTACAAACAAAAAGTAAGATGTAAGATGGACAGAAGGAAACAAGGGAATAGAGCGTTGCGAGTGGGAAGGGGTCCAGGAGAGTGAGGGCTGCGGAAGGGGCAGGATGAAGACTGAGACGAGCTGTGTACAGGTACCAAGTACCCGCAATGACTGTAAACATCACACCGTGTGAGCCAAGAATAACAATAACAACAAGATCGAAAATGAGAAAAGGGGACTTAGACAGATGGCGGTGGGTGGCAAGGGGAAGGGAATTAAAAAAAGAAACAGGCTGCACGAGGTACACGTACCCATCCCCCAAGATAAGTGCTAATATCATACATCGCAAACACGTACTAATAAAATTTAAATTTCAAAAGTAAGATAAAGATATCTGTTCTTACCACTCCCATCAGGAGATAGCGCTAACCAAGGCAGTACAAAAGTAAAAGCTATGAATTCAATGACCAGAATGAAATAGGTAAAAATTCATGATTTGAAATTTGACGTTTTAGAATAGCTCTGCCATGGAGACAGACTAAATACTCTCGTCACCACTCTCCTCTAACCCTCGCATTTGGTGCGCGGTGGCTGCGTCGAATGTCCTGAAATACAGTCCTCGTTTTAGTAGGCGGAGCTAATCCTAGAGACTTGTAACATTTTCTCCAGTTTGCCCTTCAGGAAATCCTGTCTGGACCAATTATTATCACTTCTGCCCCAGAGAACTGTTTTCTGCCTGCGCGGTGTGGGACGGAGCTGTGCGCTTCCCAGATCCCGGGAGGAAGCTAGCACAGCTCTCAGTTTCAGGACTGGGGGACACCCTAGGA